CTCTCAGTTCCCATGATTTTTGGAGAGCTGGGAACAAAGGACAAATACATCTTAGAAGGGAAAGTCCTCGCTGCCCTGGTTTTAAGAGCTGTCCTCACACCCTGCAAAGCTCCCATCCCAGATTCACCCTTTGAGTCCTGGTGGCTGAGCCTCTTGGGCCAAAAGAAACCCTCTGGGTCACATCCTGAGCTGTCCTGACTCGGCTCTGTCTGATCCCTGCAGCTCCTGATCACCAGCACGTTCCCGACGGCGTGTGGATCGTGGTGGGGCTCCTCAACTTCATGGCCTACACGTTGGGTAAGAGTTTGCAGGGTCACCCACTCGTGCTGTGGGGGTGTTGTGCCCACGGGAGGAGTTAGGCTCTGGGCTCTGGCCAGGAGCAGTTTCTGGGAGCTGCTTTGCCATGTGGAGACAAGGAAGGTGTCCCGGAGCATCTGATGGGAAAGGAGGATGCTGGAACTGGCTTTGAGATGAACTGTCAACTTGGGTCTGCTTTAAATAATCAGAGAATCCCAGAATGGTTTGGGTTTTGAAGGACCTGCAAAAGCCTCTAGTTCCACTATGCCACATGTGGGAAATGAATTTATAGAGAATTCTTAAAGTATGATTAGGATACTCATGTAATGTGTAGTTGTATGTAAACATACAACATGTGCCTAATCTGACACCAGGTTGCTCCAACCTGGCCTTGGACACTTCCAGGGATCCAGGGGCAGCCACAGCTCCTCTGGCCAACCTGTGCCAGGGCCTGCCCACCCTCACAGCCAAGAATTCCATCCCAATATCCCACCCAAATTCCCCCTTTTCCCGTTTGAAGCCATTCCCTGTGTCCTGTCCCTCCATCCCTTGTCCCAAGTCCCTCTCCAGCTCTCCTGGACCTCCCTTAGGCACAGGAGGAGCCTGCCTTAATGAATAAAAAGAAAACAGAAGGAAATAAATATAATCTCCTCAGATTTTGCAATTTTTGTTGCATTTTTCACCCTCCCGTGGAGCAGGGGTGGGAAGCCACGCGCTGATTGAGGGTGGAGGTGGGGAAAGCTGCTGTTCCCTGCCCATTGCTTCGTGTGGGGTGTCCAGGACAGCTCCATGTGTAGGAACGTGCCCCTTGTTGTCAGAGTGACCCAATTATTCTTTGCTTAAAAAGGCAAAAAGCCCACAAGTTTCTCCCCCAGTTTGCCAAAAAGAGACCTCATAGAACCTTTTGGACTTCACCTCAAACCTGGGGCTGTCTGATTAGACAGCGACCAAGAGGTCCTGCCTAAAAAAGGGAGAACAAAGGAAATAATCACTTTTGTGGGGTGCTTTAGCAGGAGCAAGAACCTCTTCCCCCTAGCTCATTTTTTCTGTGTAAGAGCTTTGTTATTTTGCTTTTATTAAACCCTTTCCACCACTTTCTCAGAAGCCATCCTGCTCCTTTGGTGCCGTTGGGGTAGCTGGGCTGTCCTGGGCGCGGCGAGTTTCTCCCAGAGCTCAGAGCTGCCCCGAAGAGCCTCACATCCCTCTCGTTCCTTGCCCTGTTCCCAGACGGCGTGGATGGGAAGCAGGCACGCCGCACCAACTCCAGCACCCCCCTGGGAGAGCTCTTCGACCACGGCCTGGACAGCTGGGCCTGCGTCTACTTCGTGGTCACCGTCTACTCCACCTTCGGCCGGGGCTCCACGGGCGTCAGCGTCTTCGTCCTCTACCTCCTGCTCTGGGTGGTCTTGTTTTCCTTCATCCTCTCCCACTGGGAGAAGTATAACACGGGGATTCTCTTCCTGCCCTGGGGATATGACGTCAGCCAGGTGGTGAGTTCTGCCGTGGATCCCGAGCCTTGTCCAACACGGAGTCCCTCCGTGGAGATGGATCCTCCACCACAAGCCAGGCTGGGAGGATGGACATGGC